TAATTACACAGTAAGTCATCCATTTCACACATTTACAGGTAATTTAATTAATTAATTTGCAAAATATTGCTTTGAATCAGCCTGGATGCTAAGGACTGAGTATCTGAGCTTCAGAGGACTCAAAGGTCGAAAGAAAGAAATAAAGTCAAACGAGCTGAACATAAGAGGTGGAGAATGACTGGTTTATCTTCTGGGTTCCAGGAACTCCCTTGGACTGCTTCCAATGATTACCCCTTTGCCCCCCTCTTGGTCCTCTTCGTGCCTGCAAATACCCCTTCAAGTCACCCCCCACTACTGCCTTCCAGTTCCAAATTTTCTTGCAGCTCCTTCCTCTCACCCACTCACCCCCTCTCCTCTCACCCTTTGGCATCCCGTTCAAACTGCTGCCCTCTCAGCAAACATCTCCCCTCCTCCCCACAACTGGGCTGCTGTAAATGCCCCCAGGACTGAGGTTCTTTCAGTTATTCACCTCTGCTCCAAACCCACGTCTTTCTCCGATTCCGAGCTTGCAACCCCTCTCTTCCTCCCTCTCTCTCTCTCGTTCTCACCAGGATGTAAAATATTCACAGCTGCTGCTGCGGTCAGGTAGCACGGCCACAAGACTCTCTGAGCAAACAGAGGAGCTGTGAACGTGTGAAGCCGATGGTGTACGTTTCATTTGAGGTTCGACACAGGTCCGATAGATCCCGATGTAGTCAAAACAGAAACCGCATACTGAGCCTCGCCACATGCCTCAACAAACCAAGCTCTAACCAAACATACCCAAGTACAACACTGAAAAAATGACACTGCAAACAGCTTTTAGAAACATGTCAGGCGCACTGCAGAAATAGGAGAAACGATACGTGGCTTGGTGCCGCTGAACACAGTAACTGAGATATCACTGAGGTTTATAATCAGTGTGAAACATCTGTCTTGAATAAATGCCTCGCTTTTAAAGTCTAGCCTCATTATGCATTACGGGCAAAGGCAAGAGCGCATTAAGTCATGTTAGAGTTGCAATAAAAATACATCAAGCTCTCTTCCAAAAGGTCTACACATGTTATATATGCGGACTCGATTCCAGGTTCTCTGAATGAAGAAGTGTACAAATTTGTGTCAGATATCCAAGTTCCAGTCCAGGTTTCCTTGTTCAAATATGGACTTAAATGAGATGTTTTACATCTCTGAAGCTGTCCCACCAAATAATAAAGACATCTTGGCCTGGGAATGCCAGCCCTTGAACTTTATGAGGGAGGGTGAAAGGGGGAAAAGAGGAGGGGTATCGGTGTCTTGAACACATTTCAAAGTAATTGTACTTGATATGTCGTTTAGAGAACACCCAAGTAATCATATAAACAAAAGACTAGATGCCCTGGGAGGATGAAAGGAAATCTGAATCTCCCACTGATGTATCATACTTACTCATTTTTTGACATGAGTGTGAGACGGCGAGGGATTCCTGAGCACAATAAGAGGATCGGGGACCTTTTTAGTAATAAACACAGTGGGATGGACGGACTCCGGTGGATTCCTTCATACTCACAAATTAACTTACACACACACACAAAAACAGATGGCAGAGGGCTGAAAGTGATGGATGCAATGTACAAATTAGAAATGCTGCAGGCACGGGGATAAGGAGACTGCATGTGTGCGTGTGTGTGTGTTTGTTCTATGTTTGATCCTGCACCTCAGCCTTACCGAGGCATGACTTACGTTTAAAAAACATTCCAAAAAATAAAAAGATGAATTTGAGGGAAAATCGCAGGACCCAGACAGCAACAACACGAGAACAAGTTAAAGAAAAAGTGAGGGAAAGCAAAAGAAGAATAAAGAAAACATGAGATCATAGTTAATTAGAATCAGGTGATAAACAATGGAGTGATATTTACGTTATACCATATGCCCCGCTACATGTGTCTTTCTGTCTCGAGGGATACAGTAACAGGTTTCAGACACGTAAGGTCAAGAGGAGGCTTTTCCCAGCTGCTAGACCACACTGATGCACACACACGCCCCTGCCCAGCCGCCCAAGTGTGTCGTCCATTTCTAAAGCCTGTTTTGTCTTTGTTGTTATTACATAAAAGACAGTGTTTATCCTCCAGGAAGCCATGTTTGCCATATGTACTTGTAAGGCAGAAGATTTTGCAGCAAGAAACAAAAACCCCTGAGCCAATCAGGCAGGTTGTCTCCTGGGCTTCACTTCAAAATCCTAATCTCTTACAGATTCCCGATTCACGCCTTGGATTTAAAAGCCCTCCAGTGGCTTACTCTTGTTTGTTACAAACCCTCATTATTTTGGCAGACTCCAGTCAAGTATTGTCTCACTTAGTCATGAAATGCTGTGCTTCTTGATCTCTGAAATATTGACTTCAAAAAGCATCTCATGATGGATTTGTCAGCTTTGAAGCTTTCGACGTCAAACTGTTTAATCACTGAAAGCTCCAGCCATGTAAAGTCCACAGAGCAATCTTACTATGATACACAAAAACTGTCTGCCCAGAAACTCCTACACTCACAGAGGAAGCTCAGAAACCAACCCTGACATAAACACTTTATTGCCAAAAGTACTCAATCACCCATCCAAATGATTGAATTCAGGTGTACCAATCACTTCCACAGAACAGGTGTATAAAATAAAGCACCTGGGCAGGCTGACTGCTTCTACAGACGTTTGTGAAAGAATAGGCCGCTCTAAGGAGCTCGGTGAATTCCAGTGTGACACCTGTGCAACAAGTCCTGTCATAAAGTTTCCTCACTACTAAATATTCCACATTCAACTGTAAGTGGTGTTATAACAAAGAGTAAGCAGTTGGGAACGACAGCAACTCAGTCACAAAGTGGGGTCAGCACATAGCATGCAGAGGTCACACATTTCTGCAGAGTCAATCTCTAAAGACCTCCAAACTTCATGTGGCCTTCAGATTATCTTAAGAACAGTGCATAGAGAACTTCATGGGATGGGTTATCATGGCAGAGGTGCTGCATCCAAGCATGGAAAGCATTGGATGCAGTGGTGTAAAGCACACCTCCACTGGAGTCTAACGTGGTGGAGATGTGTCCTCTGGTGTGACAAATCACTTTTCTCTGTCAGGCAATCTGATGGAGGAGTCTGCGTTTGGCCATTGCCAGCAAAACCGTACTTGTCTGACTGCATTGTGCCAAGTGTCAAGTTTGGTGGAGGCGGGATTATGGTGGAGGGTTGGTTTTCAGGAGTTGGACTCGCCCCCTTAGATCCAGTAAAATGAATTCTTAATGCTTTTACATATCAAGATATTTTGGACATAAAAACATGCATGGGCAAGTTTGGTGCGGAAGGAGTTGACTGGCCTGCACAGAGTCCTGAGCTCAACCTGATAGAACTACTTTGGGATGAATTAGAGCAGAGACTACGAGCCAGGCGTTCTCGTCCAAAATAGCTTCTGGAAGAATCAAAAAATCCCATAAATGCACTCCTGAACCTTTTGGAAAGAATAGTTGAAATGATGCAATGTGTGTATAAAGACTTTTGCAAAATAACGTAGGTACTGAACACCTGAATGCCATTATGTTGCCTGGCAATCACCTTGCAACAGCTGAAAATCCCAAGATTTTAGGATTTATGCACCTCTGAAAACATTATAGCATCTATTTAAATTACACAATAATAATTTCTAATTTATATAAAGCTGTTGAATATTAAGATATCTGGGATATGACACCACCATGTGACTGACTGATTAAAATCCAATTATATTGTAGCTAGTATATGAGAAGCTTACTGTCTGATAAATAGCTGTGGAAATGAAAGTGGGATTTGTAGTTAATTAATTCAGCCTACAAAATCACCTTTTTTCCCAAGCATTTCATTATATAAACATTTTTTTTAGGTACATGTTTTTAAAATATGCAGGTAGCCCATAAGGCACGTATGGAAACATAATATAATTAAAAAGTTATTACATCTTCTTGTGTTATATGGGTATATAATTAATAGAACAATATCAAGCATACCAATTATTTTTTATTAATGAGAGTGGACAGTGAATGGTTTAATAATCCCTTAATTATATATAGAAGTAATTGGATTTTGCTGTATAGAAATATGCAAACAACAGCTACCCAATCTAGTTTTTGGAATTTTCTCAGTGTTATGAAGTATATCAGTTATCCAATAGCATGGGCAGGCCAAATAATACTCTAGCATGGGCATGCACTGGTTTATAAAATGCAGAATTTATTTGAACTCACTGACTTTCATCTATAAAATTTGTTTTAGTCTTGCAAAAGTACATAAAAGTCTCTGTCTGCAAACACAATCATGGGTTCAGCAAACATATTAGGCCCCAGAAGTGTCTTAATTGTATCAGCCATTATCATGTCTATGAAACCTCCCACCAATGGGCTAAAATCACCTACTTGTACCCTTTATACACCTAGAACATTGTATCATTTTATTTTGATAACTATACAATTGAATTTATATTCCCACAACTTCAATTTTACGTTCTTATCTGTATCACAAACTGTATTGTGACGTCATCCTGTTGCCTATCTGCCACTTATTAACTCACTAAAATCACTTAATTCTAATGTTTATGTGCCTAGAATATCTTATAAAAGCATTGTACCATTTGTTTTTACAACAATAACAATTTATAGAAACAAAACTTGATTATGATTTATGACTCCATCATGTTGCCTGGCAAAAATCCAACAACTGACTAAAGACATTTATGTGTTATTTATTGTGGTATATCAGAGCTGAACCTGAGCTTTGCAGACCTAAAAACTTATTATTTACTATTCAAACAGTGCCACTTAAACTTAAACACTCAAAGTGATTAATTATATAGGCTTGCTAAGAACACGGGCAGACCAAATGATATTATAGCTATCATGGTTAGTAATAATGAGCTAATATATATGTTACAGCAATAGGCTGCATCAGTCAAAATTCAATCATATCCTTTACGTTTAAATTTATTTTTATGTTTTGTTGTGTATTTTGCAAAAGAACAAACAATAATCAGACGCTGAAAATAAAAATAACCAAAGTCAGTCAGACAGGTTAAAGACAAATATATTCTTTGTATTTATTCAGGTTTAAATGTATAGTATTCAAAGAGAAGCATACATGGTAAAAAAAAAAAAAAAAGACTTTCTTTTTTGTATTTTTGTAGGGTTTTTTTTGTTAAATATTACACAAAATAAATAAATTCAAAGAAAAAACATGATAGTTTTAGACTTGCTGCTGTGTTGGTACTTGACTAAACACAAACTTTTTTCATTTTCCTCCACCCATCTCATCTTTTCTTCTTCTTCTATCAGTCAGCTTCCTGCTAATACTTCCTCTGCCTTCCCCTGTTTGCCTCCATGTTTTCTCTTTTGCCATTTCTTCCCCAGTCACTGACTTCACACGTACACAAATCTAAAAATGTGAGTTACCGTTTCACATTTTGGCACAGAAGTCATTTCTTTTCATAATTTTACCGTGCCAGTGTACTTTATAACTTAAAACAGAAAATAATATGTACATTGTATAGCGATATATCTTATTTCTTTCTTTAAAAATAGAAATGTCTTTATCCAACTGTGATAAAATGTCTGTTTGTTTCCTTTCTTTTCCTCCTCAGTGCATCATACTGTTCAGACTTGAATCTGTCCAATGAAGCCATCACTTCAACTCCAAAAAACGTCCGATAGCCTTTAATCTGCAGAGCTCTCCCTTTGCTGATTTGTCCAGTCATCGCTGTTCTGACAAAATAGGCAGGAAGTGAGTGGCTGGGTTTTTCCTTCGTGTCTTCCTTCCTTTCATTGGCTTTCCCTTGGGGTTCAGTGCAACAAACATGCGCTTGTCCTTGTTGAGCCACTGAGCTGAAGCGTAGGTGTTATACTTGTTTTCCTCGATGCGTTCAATTAGACGGCAGTCTGGGCCGTACTCTCTCTGTGGAGGAGAAGCAAAGAGTTTAAAAGAGCTGAAGAAAAAGATAATAATTTATATTTAAAGTAAATTAGTACAGGTTGCCTTTTTAAGATTTTCTCCATTGATGAAAACCACCTCTAGCGGGTAGCCAGTGGCTTGAAACTTCCCACTGTACCACATGTGTAAGTTCTCAGTCATGGTTAGTTTTTACTCAAAACTGTTTTTTTTGTTGTTGTGTTCATTCTTACTCATTTTTGTTTCAGTGGTTCTTTAGGGCATCGTCAAAGCAATAACCTGGAGATAGTTCTTGTGACAACATCCAATAACAAATGGTCAGCCATTGCTTAAGAACAATCCCCAGCGTAATTTTAAAAAGTCAGACGTAAAACTTGAATAGTTGTCAGTGTTGTTTGTGTGTCAGTAGTTTGGATGGCTGTGTGGTGGTTGGATGGGGCGAGGGCAGAGAAGTTATTGTGACTTCTCGATGGTTCGGGCTTAGTGCCAAGCAAAGAGCACTGTGACACAAAGTTTGTGGCTTACATTACCGCAATGGCCACCCACTGGTAAATGAAGAGAAAATGATCTGAGAGAGCTGCATTTGTCAGTTTACTGGAATCTGCCCCTGTGCTTAAGGCTAACAGCGCTTAAACAGCCAGTTAACTGGATGCAATTGATATTCGCAAGCAAAAATGTACTTGCTACACACACATACACACTCTAATAGCCAATATCTGTCCTTCGCGCGCTCTCTCTCCACCACATCTGTTCAAATTGGTTCCAGAAGTAAAGCTGAGTGTTCTCAGAGCAAAATGAAAATATTTTACGAACGCTATGCAGCATTTTAGACTACGCTGGTACAAGGTACAATTAAATATCGCGTGAGTGCATGATGTAGGAATATAAGCCTGTTCGTGGTCAAAAGGTTAAAAAACGTAAGTAGTAAATCGGTAAGCTTTAAGATGAAGACATGTTCAAAGGCTAAGGTTAGAATTAGGCAAGTAGCAGCTATAGTTAAGGATCGATTGAGTCTCAAAATAATGGTGTTAATAGGCAAAAGAATTGTTATAGTAAGTACAGAAATGAACGTAAAAGTAGTAAAAGTTAAAGGCGATCATAACCTGCAGTGTCACCTATGTGCTTTAATCTGCCAATACAATGAAACAATGAATTCAATTGATTAGCACCAGATAAAGAAGTCACTGTGTAAAACCATCAAGTGTAATCGAATGCCGGCCTTTCGCCGCTCCGCTACTAGGGCTTGTGTTGTGCTGCGGCGAAGACGTCATGGGAATTCAGTTGGAGGCCATGCAACAAAATGCCTCTTTTTATTTTCTGTCTTTTCTACCGTGTGTCATTTCATCTGTTGTGTGGCTCCTCAGAGACATGCTGAAAATCAGGTCTTTCAAAGTAGGGAAAAGAGGGGGGTGGGGGAGGCAGAATCGAATGAAGGAAAGAAGGGTGAGTGAGAGAGGACAGATAAAACGAGGGCTGCTCTACCCAGAGAGACTGAAGCAGAACAGAGAAACTGAAGGATTGTGTTTCCTGTTTCTGAATGGAGTGGAGAGGAGAGGTAGGCAGAGGAGAGTAACTGTGGTTCCTATTTCTGGAACAGTGAGTCGTACAGCCTTGTCCATTGTTTTATAAAGCATTCAAGAAACTTCAAAGCCACAGAACCACCACTTTAGAGGGAAAACGTCCTTTTACCAATTTTTTTTCACTATCATCATCAGTCAAATTTAGCAATCGCAAAAGTGCAGAAGTGCGTTTGCAAAGAGTGGAGAAGATTTTGAACTAACAAGCCGTAAATCTCTTAAAGTGGACCTTATTTTCTGTCATAGACTAAGGGGGACCAAAAATTTCAATTAATAAATTTGATGTTTGTGCAAGTAATCTGTTCAACAAGTTTATTATTTAAGCTCTCAAGCTTAAATAGGTTAAAGTGATTGAGTTCTTGAGAAACTGTGGTTAAGAATTTAATCCAAACCAAGATATTAGCTTCATTATTCAAAGAAGAATACGGAGCTTCTCTGAAAAGGGAGGCACCCACTGGACTACAGAGCTGCATAGGACTCTTATACATATTGTGTAATTTGTACAGTACTCAGTTTCAGAGGGTATATTAAAAGGGCCTTCTCACCCATCTCCACCCACCTGCTGTTTAAACCCTCTGTTTGTTAGGAACAATCAATCACCAAGGCCTAGTATAAGATAAATAGGGATGTTTTGGGACTGAGAATAAAGCTATCCTCTTAGACTTAGAGAATAATGCATATTAAATAAAAGTGACAGGTCAGAGAGTTAAACAGCGCTAAAACTTACCGCTCCGTACAGAACGCCATTCTTCTTGATTGCCAGGTAGTGGTTACTTTTGAGGCCCTTGATGGCCACCACACCCACATCCACTGATTTGATCTCCAAAACACCTGGTGGAGCAGGGACAGGGAGACAAATAGGGAGTCAACTTTTGTGTGGGTCATTTACTCAGATAGAGTTACATTCTTACAACCACATATTTTTCTATTTATAGTCTGGAACAGGACCCTGAACAGGTTCCAGTTTCCTTTGATGATTTATTTACTTTTTATTCTGTCTGTCTCTAAAAACAAAAGTTTTTCATTGCATTACATTTATATGCATATGTATGTCTGACAACTTAAATGACTTTAATGATAAAGTAATTACTTTGGAATATAGCTCAAAGTTTCCCGTCACTTTTCATGCAAGTGTTAATGTTGTAATGGAGAGACTGCATCAAAAAGCAGAAAAAAAGGTGTTTGACACGTTTACTATCAGTTTAAAGTGTGGGGAAATGCATTTTTATCTGCACGCCTCTTAAGGCTGCTATAACATTTCTATATTTTTGTTAATTTCAGGGTCTCCTGCACTGTTTTCTTTTTTAATTTCATATTTTCCCACAAGTGAACCCCAGTCTTGTCCCCGTCCCTTTCTTTTTCCTTCACTGTGTGACAGTCAGCCCGGCCGCTTGCCCCCTCCTCATTTGCTGGTTAGCTTGTGGGCTGTATGCTCTGGGACCAAGGTGTTAGCCAGGAAAAAACATTTCTGCGTTCTATGTTTGTTTTTCTGACCAGAGGAGCACAGGCAGGCTGGACGGAGCAAGGCTTTCTGCCTGCCAGACTGGCAAGAGGTCAACGCGTTTGTATCAGTTTTCAAGCCTGAGCCAATTACTGATTTAAGCTGTGGTTGTCAGCCCTTCCTTCTCTCATCCTAAAGCCAGTTACAGCGGGCCATAATGTAATCAGGAGATGAAGTGATTAGTTGAGGGGGGTAGTAGGAAGTGGAGGCTGGTTGCAGGAATGCTTTAGACAGAAAAGAGACTTGGATATTCACCTGATCTTTAGTGGTAAATGAATAAAAAATTTAAATGCAAATTTTCACGTGTCCCCAAAATCTGGTTGTGAGACTCTTAAAAAATATTCAGTCTATCTCAACTGCCTCAAACAGTAGCTGCCTTTTTACCAGACGACCCTTCACTGCCCTTAACCCTCTTCTCTTGTACTCAGACGGAGATTTGCAACTTCCTGCAGGCTTTTGATTTTTATGAAGGTCAGACCTGAGGAGATTTATGGGGATATGTGAGCCTCCAGCTCAGAATGATACAAAATCTATATAAAGAATATGTCTTTCACTGACTACGCTGCATCGCCTAGTTTGTCTTTGTTGTCACTGGACAAGGATTTGGAGAATGTTTGTGATTATTTTTAATGATTTGTGGCCTCGTCTTAAATGTTGTGGCTGATGCATTTATCCCTCATGTGGTCGATTTCAAGAACTTTAAGAAGAGTTTCGTAGCTCCACGGTGCGTCATGCAGGCTTGCTGTGTGAAGTCCATTACTCACACAGGCATGTGCTGCAACACAGCGCTGATCTATCAGGTTCAAAATGTTCCAGCTGACATTTCTGAGCTGTGATCCATTAAAAAAAAGGGATCTGTCTGTGCCGCGCTACAGGCTGGTCCACCTGTTCAAACCTTCCTCCTTCCATTTGATGTGGTTTGTCTAAAACCAAAAGCACAGGGCTCTTTTATGGCCCCTGCACCAGTTACCAGAAGCAGCCCGCCTGCCTGTGAGTGAAAAAGCCTGGCTGCAACAAAAGGCTTAAATTGCAGCAACAACAGTTGGCAGTAATGCAGGGAGATGGAGAAAAACAGGACCTGAGCTTGTGTCAGGCTAACGTTAACCTCTGCTGCCCTTAAAGCTGCATTTTATTATTTTACGCTCTCACTCAACACCTTGTCTTTTTTGGTGTCTTGTTAATGTGTATTTTTTTATTTTTTCTGCTTCCCCCCCCCTGTCTGCTGTTTCCCTCCCTGTGTCCCTTGGATCTCAGCCCAACATCTTTATGAATTATGTTTTAAGTGCAAAGGGGGAGTTTTATGATCTGGCACTGAAAGCAAAAAAAGAAGGAAAAAAAAGCACAAAGTTTACTTAATTTAAAAGGCATGGTCATTTGCTGCTATCAACATTATTTAAAGAACTACCAAAGGCAAACACGTGTGTGTAACAGGGCAACATTTCAACTTTCATAAGAGCGAGCCAAAATGGTTTCTGCTTGTCAAGCTGTAACTGACAGAGCTGGAAGTTCAAATAAACACAGCCCAGCCGTCTAACAAGGAAGAAACTGTTCATTAACGACTCCATAATGACCTTAACGATATTTAATTAACAGATTTTTTTTTTTAAAGCCAAATCTGAGCTCACGAGAGCAGGTTTCATGCATTTTAAGCCATAATGATTGCTATTCATAGTAGTGGTTTGGATCGTAACTGATTGAGATTTTTGGTGTAATCAATTGTTATACTTGTTGTTACAATGATCTACGCAGTCTCTCTGACTTACAGGCAAGAGAATTTCTCAACCAGATTTCTATTTAAATTTGGCACCAATTTCAACCATATTTACAAAGCAAAAGAAAAACGTCATATGACGTCACAGGATAAAGTCACTGGATGTATGACGGTGTTTACTTTTTAAGGCAAAATACTTTTGAAATCAACCAATTTAAAAACAACTTCTTTGGAGAGAGACATATGAAACCTGAACTCTGCTAAATACTTAGTACTTATATGTTAATACTTACTTACTGACTAAGCAGCACAACAGGACTCACTCTTGCATTACAAAGTCAACATTCCAGTGAGCAGTGCAATAAAACTCAGCTGTTTTATTTTATAATTGTACTGAATTATATCATAGTCATGTATGCTAATTATGCAGGAACCACCAGGACTGCTACAAATTTCATTGTAATTTCTTCAACAGATGGGAAAATAAAAGTAAAATCCAATTTAATGTACTCTAATGTAAAGATTAAGCATCAGCCTGGGATGTAAACTTTTCTATGATCATTCTAGCTCATGCAAATCAGCACAGTCACACAAATACTAAAAAGACACACTCTCACACAGGAGCGCGCACATTCGCAGACCTCACACCGACCCCTGTTAGGCCCCTTTTTGGAAACGTGGTCAGTTAGACTCCAGCTGATCCCAAAGGTTAGAGGAGGTTGTGAAAATGTTTCCACTGTTTATCCAGGGGCTTTTTGAAGATTATACTGCAGTTGTTCACTTTGTGACCTCGACACGGTGACCAGCTGTGAGCGGGTCTACTGCGTGTCTACAGCTCGGAGAGGTCTTGCTTCTCGTTGTGAAATATCATCACTTGCGGAGCAGTTTGTGTCGTGAACTCCGCTCCGCGAGCAGAGTGAAAACGTTTTTTGTTCTTTTATTCGGCGTCCAGTGCTCTACTATGAACCTCTGACTTCACTATTTGTATTTCAGCAGAGACTGATTTCTCTCACCCTTTTTGAGATAAATGTGACATCCAAGAAACAAAATTCTCATGAAGACAAAAAGGACTCTATTATGTATTTCTCTTAAAAAAAATTTAATAGGAACCTTTCATGCGTTGAGGTCTAAACAGTAAGATCATTTTTCTCTTTGAAACAAGCAGCATAGTGACTGACGACATTTCATATTCACAGTGACATGAGAGTTTACATCCAGGCAACCGCCAAAGACTCCAAAGCAAAGAAAATCCAGTGGGAACACATGCAAAAGAATAGAAGAATTCAAAACGGGGGAAAATGTACCACCAAATCAGATACGAATTGCTCTATTTGGTCACATATATAGAGAAAATGTCTTTTTAATTTGTCTCGGCCTTTGAGGCCACAGTTTTATCAGGATTAAACAATTTTGTTAGCGTTATTTATTTCTCAGAGTTTGAGCGGACTCTTTCCGTTTCTTTATGAAGTCTGAAAGAGAACAAACATCTCTCGGTTGTGCAGATTGCTTGGTGAGAGCTTGTGGAGATGGTGGGCTTGAGCAGAAACTGCTGCATGTTGTGTATTTTGGGGAGCACTGAGGTATTTGTTTAGACTGATGTGGCTGACAGCAGTATCTTCTTGTGCTAAGTGGCCACATCAAAGCATGCCTAGCTGAAAGAGGGAACAGAGGGCTGTTTCTGATTTCCAATATGGCCAGAATTTTTCTACAAATACAAGTTTTTTTTGTAAATTGATTTCTTTTCATATTGTGTTCTGCACATATTTGATTTGCTGTGTAAAAATCATATTAAATAAATTATGTTTGGCCTTTGTGAATTACATTTAATGTGTTTTTTCTCAGTTCATTTCATTTCCTTTTTAGCCCGCGCTCACCATATCAGCTTACTCTTGCCCGGGCAATGGTTTTATATCCTCTCCTGACTGATGCACTCACATCAAAATGTACAGAAATGAGCAAAACTGCACGCTGTTAAACCTTCATCTGATGTCATTGGCCTTGGGGTGATCACGTGGGAGAAAAAAAAGTTAGAAAGCCAACAGTCTAGGCGAGAGATAACATGAAATTTGCAATCACTTGCAATCACTCACGCTTAAGAGCAGCCAGGAGGAATTTGCAGTGGTGTTAACCGGGATTTGATTGAGTGGAGAAACACCTGAGAAATTGTGATTCTTTAAACGTGGTTTATTTTGTAACATGATAGAGCGCGCGTGCTGCCAGCTTCTGTCAAAAACCATTCACAGGCCTGACACAGCAGGAGTCGTGTTTTCAGGCAGAGTGCTGTGATGGTCGTCTGCATTTCACACATTTTTCATTTACAGTTCAGCTGTCAGTGCGGTGTTGCCCAACTGTTGTGGCTAGAGTTGTTGCTGAGGGACTCTTAGCTTTTAGAGATCTTCTTATATTGCACCACAAGTATTACCCACAATATCATTCAGCTTGTCACATCCTCTCTCTGCTTTGCTCTTTGTTGTGTTCGTTTGCACATGTATTAATTTTGTACACATTCAACACGCACACACTTAACACACACACACAGAGTAATGAGCCGGCATTCCTGACGGCTCAGTTCAAACAGCCAGACTGTCCAGATGCCTCTCCGGTCTCAACTCACAGCAC